TGAAGTCTTGCATCATCTCCTCTACGATGAAGCAGATTCTTACAATGGTTGGCATCACTTCTTGATCAGTATCTCGAGTTGATACTAAACAGAAATAATATAAATCGTCTCAAATTGAAGATATGATAACCAATGCTTGAAGATACACTATTTCGTGATATAAAAGCGATAACCTTATCATATTGCAATCTGATTCAGATGTGACACAGATTTGTTATTTTTTTTCTTCATGTACCTATTTATAATCTGAACTTATTTCTTCCTGATACAATATACCGTTTCGATGAAATGGAAAATGATTTTAAAAGGCGAATGATATTAAATTGATTGAAGTTCTCGTAATGTGATTAATCCCTTTGTGAAGCATCATGTTCTAAAAGGAAAAAATGTGAAAAAATATATACATACATATATTAAATGCACAAGATCTAAGCAACCAGAAAAAAATCTAAGTGGCAGCATAGAGACATTTCGGAAAATTAGTTAAAAGTTTGAGAACAGCATACCGGAAGAACTGAACCTCTTATTTACATATTAGACGGATCGGTTGAGTGTGTTTATTTCTATATTGTGGTATGAGGGAATGCTTCGTTCCATACCTTAATAATGCGCGTATAATTAAATACATACTTATTCAGTACTGTATTATTCCTGAATTGTTATTTAGTGTGTCTAAACGAGAATAAAAGATAAACACACGTTCACAACCACTACCTCTTGAACATCTTGAGACAATACTCAAATGTATTCTAAGTTTATAAGAAAAAATATAGTATGGAATATTGCAGGTATGAGAGTTTCTTCTTTAAATCTTAGAAGTTATTTCTGCCCTAAAATAAAGTACAGTATGGCAGTCTTTTGCATATTACTTTCACTTTCTTTTACTATCTCCTTTTCGTTACACTATTCCTTCCTTCTTTCCATATTGCCTACATATCACTCTCATTATCGTCTATTTTTTCCAGAATATCTCCTTTTCACTCAAATCACCATTCTTCCCTTCTTTCCACCCATATCTACATATCTCTCATTGCCGTCTTATCTCTTATCTCTCCGAAGCGCCGCCGATTAGCCGAGAGTAGCTTCGAAGTGGTCCGGGAGTTGAGGCATCTGAGGGGGACGAGTGAGACCCCGAAGCGCCAAGTGGACGAGGGTCTCCGTGGATAGCGTGTGGTAGCTGCTCGTCGAGGAGAGGAAGGAAGGGAGGAACGCCAGAGGAGACACGTCGCTGTCCCTGAGGCTCGCGAGGGTCCTCACCTCCCCGATCTTGGCTCCTGCGGCGTCCTCCACGGCCTCGAGGATCAGGCGGCCGAGGGTTCGGCGCGAGAGGTTCTGCGGGAAGAAGGGAGGGTCAGTTTGGAAGAGGAAGCGAGTGTGGCGGTTTAGTGTTGTAGGTATAATGAATGAAAGAATAATGAATTAAATAAAAATAAAAATATTATACACTCTCTCTCTCTCTCTCTCTCTCTCTCTCTCTCTCTCTCTCTCTCTCTCTCTCTCTCTCTCTCTCTCTCTCTCTCTCTCTCTCTCTCTCTCTCTCTCACACACACACACACACACACACACACACACACACACACACACACACACACACACACACACACACACACACACACACACACACATATATATATAGTAGATAGATAGATAGATATAGATATAGATATAGATTTATAGATCGATTAACTGAATGATTGATAGATAGATTTCATATTCAAATTATTTTTCTTCTCGGAAAACCTTCTATATAATAATTATCTGCATGTAATATGTTCCTTCACATGGAATCCATGACACCGAAGCACAGGCAACGCTCCACTCACCAGGTCCGCCAAGGTCAGCAGCACCTGAAGGAGATGCCTCAGTTTATCTTCGAGGAGGGCGAGTCGGACCCTCTCGGCCTCCACGTGCCGCAGCTTCTCGTCTAAGACTCCGGACTTCCCATAGGCGTCGTTGTCGTCCTTGGAGTACAAGCTTTGTTCCTGGAAAATGATTGAAAGATTCTTTATCGGTGTCTGTGGTTGTCTATATAGGTAGTTATGTTACATTGATTTATATCGGGTTATCTTATGCCCTGCCATATCAGTATAATTAGATATATCTTACGGATTCCATTCATCGGTATTTGAGGTTGTTTTTATGTGTTACATTGATCCATATCGGCTTATTTTATGCTTTGCCATATCAATATAATAGGATATATCTTCCGGATTCCATCATCTAACTGGTGTACCGAAGAGTATTCTATTCTATTCTCTCGGCTCTTTTAATATCCTTCCCCAAACGGAAGAGTATAATACAATAATAATGCCCTCGCGCTGCTGACGGCGGGCACCCTCACCTGATCCCACTCCTTCTCGGCAGCGTCCAGGGATTCCTGGATCCACTGCACCTCCTTCTCCAGCCCCTCGATGATCGCGGTCGAGGTCGAGGTCAAGGCGCCGCCCTTCTTGGCCTCGCGAACGGCCCACGAGGACTCCTCTTCCTCCTCCTCCGTGAT